CTTCTCCCTCTCCCACTCCCCCTTGCTTGTGTTCCCTCTCTCGCTGTGTCTCTCTCTGTCAAATAAATGAATAAAATCTTTAAAAAAAAAAAAAAAGAAATGATTCTGAGGAAATTTAAAGATAACTGCCAGAATTTTGCATGTGAATACTTGACCCAGCAGTTTGTTTTATTTATAGGAGTTTCTAGAGAAACCTAAAAGCTTTTAAAGATTTGTGCATTAGGCTATTCACTTACAACATTACTGATAATAGTGAAAATTTTTGGAAGTGATGCTGATGTTCATCAGTAGGAGTTCAGATAAATAAATTATAGGATGTCCATTCACTGAAATTTCTGTGTATTTGTTAAAGAATGAAATTAGTTTGTATGTTCTGACATGGAAAAAGACACAAGATATTTTGTGATAAACCCCACTTCTGAAAGATAGTACAAAAATATTCCTTTCCTCCCTGCTTTTTTTTGTATCCTTAAACCTAGTTGGGGGGCACATGGGTGGCTCAGTTGGTTAAATGTCTGCTTTCCGGCTCAGGTCATGATCTCAGGGTCCTGGGATCAAGCCACGGGTCGGGCTCCCTCCCTGCTCAGCGGGGAGTCTGCTTCTTCCTCTCTCTCTGCCCCTCTGCTTGTGTTCTCTCTCTCTCAAATGAATGAATACAATCTTTAAAGAAAATCTAGTTTGAATATGATGAGTGCATTAATCTATTTCTTGGAAACCATATTGAGAAAACACAGAATTGTGGAATGAATTTATCTTTCCATGAGTGGTGGGACGGAGAATGCAGAGAATGGATGAGTGTGCAGATGAGCAGTTGAAGTGCTGACCCAGCCACATTCCTTGATCTCATCTGCTGTTTAGCTTTGTTAACAGCACCTATTTTTAATTTCCTTCATGAAGAATAACATTACTCATGAAGTGTTTGATACAGTAGGAATTGTTGTCTTTTGTTTATTATTCCTGCTGGCAACTGTATATTTACATTTTAAGTTTTTTAATGAAGCCCAAGAGAACCAGCTCAGTATAAAGCTGGACAAGGTTGTTTGTCATCCCAGTTTGTTTTAGTGCAAAGTGGCATTTCTACAACAGATCTGAAGGGAGAACTTTTATAGCCTCTAAAAGGAAGATTTTATCCTCCATTGTCAGTCTTTGTTTGACTGGTTTGATGAGTCTTGTGAGTTTGTCACCTCCTTCAGGTTATCAGAACATGAATCACCATATTGCCTCAGTGAGGTAGAAGTAAATACCACATTAGTTTCTCATTTTTGATATGTGGAGATGGAAGCATATAACAATATGTCAGAGAGTACACAGCTGCAGAATATATAATTAGATTTATTATTCTGGAAGATGTTTTGTTGTAAGTTGCCTCATAAATTAATGGATGAGTCTATGAATTTGTCTACATCCCACACTGGTTTTTGAGTGTTTACTGTTTCATGCAGTTACTACCTTATTGGCCATTGCAGTGCTACTTGGTCTAACTTTCTGCAGTGATGTTGTGTATCTGCACTGTCCAGTAAGATAGCTACCAGCCGTAAGTGTCGTTAGTGCAACTGAGGAACTGAATTAAAAAAAAAAATTTTTTTTAAGATTTTATTTATTTATTTGACAGAAAGAGAGCACAAGCAGGGGGAGTGGCAGGCAGAGGGAGAGAGAGAAGCAGGCTCCCTGCTGAGCAGAGAGCTCCTGGGGCTCGATCCCAGGACTTGGGATCATGACCTGAGCCGAAGGCAGACCCTTAACCGACTGAGCCACCCAGGAACTGAATTTTTTTTTTTTTTAAGATTTTATTTATTTGAGAGAGAATGAGATAGAGAGAGCATGAGA